AAAAGAACTATTCTTTAGGGCATCCTGCTGGTCTAAAGCATTATGCTTGGTCCAGCCTGCAGATTGGATAGTGTTGATAAGGCTGTACCTAGGATGCCAGATAGAAGAAAGGACTGACAGGGAACAGTCACAAGATGAGATGTCCGTGCCATAAACAATGACCGGCATTGACTTAGGGTTGCTTTAAAGGCAGTAAAGTTTCCACTTCTCGCTGAATTCTCACGTTCTTGCCCCCTTTTATTAATGTAAACACAGGCCAAACCTCTACAGTTGCATGGTGCATAAAATATTATTTCTTTGCATTGCTGAGATTATGGAAGTGAGGGCAACCTCCACAGGGGCACACACACACACAAGCAGTGCACATAAGGCAGAACTGCATGTGGCCAGTTCCAGATAAAGATGTGGCAAGAGGGAGAAGCCAACTCTGAGAGCCCCAGTTGGGACTAGGGACCCTTCAAGGGGTGACAATGATCCGGGTGTATAGTGTCCCTGGCTCCCGGCAGAACACAGTCCACTGTGGAGTTGAGCATCCTTCCCTTAAGCGCTCAGATTTTCCGGAGATTAAGATCAACTGAATACAAGCCCACAATGATCATCACACAAGCAAACAAATCACACTGAGCGATAATCAGTGGGAAAAGACCCATATGTGCTTGAAATACTAAAACATCAGGATCAGAATAGAGAATAACCGTATATAAATTACTTTAAAATATTGTAAAATTAGCAAGCAGAAGTAGATAACATATATGATTAGCTGTATTTGAAAAATAAAACTTTTGGAAATGAAAAATATAGCCCTTGTTATCAAGAAAGACTCAGATGGTGAGATAAATAGCTTATTAAATACAACTCAAAAGAAAATTAAATACGTAGAAATTTCCCAGAATGAAGCAGAGAAAAACAAGGTTGTCAATACAAAAGAGAGGTTAGAAAAATATGGAAGTTAGAGTGAGAAGTCCCAATATCAAGTCAGAGTCTATAGAAAGAAATAGAGAAAGTGGGGGCAGGCCAATTGAAAGATTATTTTCTAGAACTGATGAAAAATGAGTGCAATGACACCCAGTGTGATGGTCTCTAAGCAAGACAAAGAAAGGAAACCCAGACCTAGGCACATGCAAAACAGCATGCTGAGCACCGAAAACAAGCAGGGGATCTCACAAACATTAAAAAAGAAAACGCTGCCCTGCGAAGGCACAAGTAGAGCTGCCACACCTTTCTCAGCAGCAAAGACAGAGGTGGGAGACAGGAAAGCTACCTACTGGGTATCAAGGAACGCAGCAGCCATCCACCACACAGCGGAAACAGCTCCACTTCTGACGGAGAAATACATTTTTTTTTCAGAGAAGCAGGGTTTATTACCAACAGACTCAGCTGAAGGATCTTTTCAAAGATGCCCTCCAGGAGGAAGGGAAGTGATCCTGCAGGAAATAGCAAGGATGCAAGGAACAGGAAACAAAAGATAGCAACACCTGCCAATAAAAACAGCATCTGCTTTCCATGTCTAATCTATGGGAATACAAGGGTTTCAAAGCATAACATCAAAGTACCAAGGGACAATAGTGTGAACGTTGGGAGAAGAAATGGCTGTGTAGTTTGGTAGGAGGGCCGAGATGCCAAAGTTAGAGTTCAGTAGGTTTACATGGTAAATTTCAAGAGAAACCAAAAAAGAAGGGAAATAGAGGATGGCACAACTTCCAAAGAAGTAGGATTTAAAATGAAATTTTAAAAATCACAAAGCTTTAATAGTCAAGAAGAGAAAGATGGTCCTAGGGGACAAAATGGGGTAGATAAGAAGCAAAAACAAATTGTACAAAGGAATACAGACCTGTCAGTCATCGCAATGAATGCTAACAGGCTAGCATGATAGACCCAAATTGTCATACCTGATACTAAAATATTCAGCCATGTGCTTCTTACCTGAGACACATTTCAACATGAGGACAGAAAAATGTTAGAAGCAAAAGATACACAAAGCAGACTTTAACCAAAAAGAGATTTCTGCTGTCAACAAAATTGGCCTTACTACCCAAAAAATTTTTTTTGAAACATTGTGTAGAGAAGACTACCATCTAATATCAAAAATTCCTAGTTCCTCTGGAAGATGAATCAATTCTGACTGTAAATTCTAGATCTTTACATATATAAAGCAAATTTGATAGAACACATAGAGGAATTAAGCTCATCCTCAGAGTGGAAGATAGTCATGCTATCTCTTGGATTTATTGATAGGCAAAAATTAGTCAAAATATTAAAAATACAACTAAAAGTTTTGCTTATTGAGCACATGAGTCCACCTAATAACAAAATATCTATAAAAATTGAGCATGGAATAAACCATAAAAGAAACATTAAAGTTTTCAAGTAACTAGTACCATAGGAATCACATGGGGCTTTTTGTAAATTTATTTATTTGAGAGACAGAGAGAGACAGAATTCCCAGAATTTCCTTGCTGGCTCAAACTCTCTACATTCCCAGGAGATGGGAACTCAATCCAGGTCTCCCACATCAGAGGCAGAACCCAAATACTTAGGCTATCACCTCTGCTTTCCTGAGTGTGCATTAGCAGGAGAGTGGGGAGCAGAACCAGGACTTGAACCCAGGCACTTCAATACGGGTTTGGGCATCTCAAACAATGCAACTAAGTTCAAGTTGAAGAGATATTCTTAGAAGCTTAAAACTTTACTTTTAAGTATTTTGTGGATAAAAAATTTATAATAGAAATTTAAAAACATTTGGAACTGGAAAATAATGAAAATCGCATAAACCAAGGCTTATAGCCTGCAGAGAAAAAGATAATATGAGGAAATGTAGAGAAACAAATACTAACAGATGAGAACAAAAGCTGAATATTAGTGAGCTAAATACCTAACTTGCAGAAATTAGAAAAAGAACAGAATAAATTCAATATAGTAGAAAAGTAACTATTAATACAAAAATTAATGAAATAGAAAACAAAGATATAATAGAAATGAACGCACAAATAAAATAAGAAAGTTTCTAGCATAAATGTTCAAGAAAGAAAGAGATTCACAAATAATATTAAAAATAAAAAGAGAGGTATAATGAGAGATCCAGCAGAGACTAAAAAGATGATAGGGTACTGTAAAACAAGCTGTATGCCATAGGATGCATAATGAGGCAGAAACTTAGAAGAAATGAACACATTTTTTTTAAAAATAACAAACTCACGGGGCCGGCGCTCTGACGCAGTGGGTTAACGCCCTGGCCTGAAGCGCCGGCATCCCATAAGGGCACCGGTTTGAGACCCGGCTGCTACACTTCCAATCCAGCTCTCTGCTGTGGCCCAGGAAGGCAGTAGAAGATGGCCCAAGTCCTTGGGACCCTGCATCTGTGTGGGAGACCCGGAAGAAGCTCCTGGCTCCTGGCTTCGGATCAGCACAGCTCTGGCTGTTGCAGCCATTTGGAGAGTGAACCATCAGATGGAAGCTCTCTCTCTCTCTCTCTCTCTCTCTCTCTGTGTATAACTCTGACTTTCAAATAAATAAATAAATCTTAAAATAACACAATCAACTAAAAAAAATTTACAAAGCCCAAGTAGCCCATAAGTGAAGTGAAACTTGTTTAAATTTCCCACAGAGAATCAACAGGCACAGGTGATTTTACAAGTAAGTCCTACCAAAATGTATCACAAAATGTATCATTCTTATGCAAACTCTGAGAGGGGAGAAATGAAACAACATTCCAAAGCATATTTGACATGTTTTTCCACTCTACCTTTGATACTAAAACAACAACAAAGATGCAATAATGAGGGGCAGGTGCTGGGTTCAGCAAGTTGACTTAACACCCATTGAGATCCCTGCTGTGATGGCTGCCGACCATACTGGGGTGCCTGGTGCCAGTGCAGGCTCTGCTTCTGATTCCAGCTTCTCGCTTGTGTGTAGCCTGGGAAGCAGAAGGCGATGTCTCAAATAGTCAGGTTCCTGCCACTTACACGGGAGGCCTGCATTCAGTTTCCAGCTCCTGGCTTTGGCTTGGCCCAGTTCTGGCAGTTGCAGGCATTTGAGGAGTGAATCAGTAGATGAGAGATCTTCGTCTGTCTGTCTGTCTGTCTCTCTCTCTCTCTGCTTTTCAAATAATTAAATAATAAACACAAAATTTAATACAATAAAGAAAAAATCATAGAAAAACTAGATTCATGTATATAAAGGTAATAATCCTACACAAATATCAGCAAAATGAATTCTACACTTTATGAGAAATGATAATGTTATTTGTAAGCTGGGTTATTCCAGGAATATAAGGCTTAACTTTAGAAACATGCAGTTACCACTCACTACATTAGTATATTAAAAGATCAAAAACAATATGGTTATTTTAATAGATGGAGAAAACATACTTGATGAAATTCAAAATACCTATTTAGGATTTTTTCAAAATTAACTAGCTTAGAATAGAAAGGGATTTCCTTGATCTAGAATAGGAAGACTTTGTTTCCTTCCAAAAACCTGCAGAAAACATTTTTTAATGATAAAACAGTGAAGGCTTTTAAAATCAGGAAGACAGTAAAGAAGTTAAAAAAAAAAAAGGAGGGGGAAGCTGTTAAAACTCTCATTGTTTACAGATTATATGATTTCCACGTATTTTATAATCTTGAAAGTTTATATATGTGTAATAGCTAAGAACAGGAAGCCATTCAGCACCCAGCAATGGACAGTGGCTGCATAGTCCCAGGCACAGTCACATAGTGCAGCCAGAACGGTCTACACCTTGCTCCGAGACACGGGTGAACCTCACAAACTTAACCTCGAGTAAAAGATCCAGACACAAAGGAACACAGTCCGTAGGATCCCACTGATGCAAAGCAGGGACACATGCACAGCCTATCTCTGCCATGGAAGTCAGGACAGGGTAACCATGGAGGGGCTGGTGAGCAGGAGGGGCACAACGAGGCAGTGTGTGGTCTGGGGTACAGCCTAAGACTCACAGGCAGTGGGTGTTGGGTTTAAACACCTGCCCTGCTGCTTCCTAGGTGACTGACCTTCTGCAAGGAACATAACCTCTGTGAGACTCAGCTTCCTTACCTGGAAAATGGGCAAAATAATGGCACTCAGCTCACCGGATGGCTGTGAGGTGAATGAGACGATGTATACGAAGCAACTGGCTCAGAAGGTTCCAGAAACTGGCAGCTACAGCTATTGTTCTTCAAGAGTCCCTCCACTGGGATTCTGGTGATTCAGGGGCATGAAGCACAGGAAATAAAAAAGCAGAATTTGGCAAGGGACCTCATGTTTCAAGAAGGTTCCTCCAGGGCTATTGTGGGGAGCCCCCACACCCCAGATCCTGCCTGTCATTCAGTCTCAGTGCTGTTTTGCCATTGAAACGCCTACCAGTGTCACATGCACAAATGTCAAATGGTAAGTTCAATGCAGAGAGGGGTGGGTTGCTCAGGACATGCTAAATTCACTGTTTGTCTTATTGTACTTGCTACCAATCTCAGAGCCAGAGAAACAAGGCCTTTCCCCCTTACCTTTGTGGCCAGATCTGCTTTAATCTAAGGACATTTTGATTTAGAGCTGAGAGGCTGTGGCACATTCTCACCACTCTATGGGAGAGCAGCCAGGCAGCCACCTCCCCTCACAGTCACCCCCACAGGCACTTATCACGAAAAGAATGCAGCACCTGCTTCCCCCCAGCCCCCACCTCAAATTTCCTGCTTTTTTGTAAAAGCTTTTAAAATAGATTTTGGATTGTATAGTTTTCCTACGATGCTGTTTTTGCAAAGTGTTTCTTGAATAATTATTTGTGCTTAGTGTTTGAAAAATAGCCTTGCTGAGCGAGAAGGAACATAATGTGCCTATTTAATATAACCTATATTAATGGGAGCACCCCCGAGCCAGATTGAAGGAGATGGAGAGGGGACACGTGGACGGCCAACATTTGGGCTTCTGGAAGGGCACCATCAACACGAACAGCCAGACTCCCACAGAGTGCCTACAGACTCCCACAGAGTGCCTTCCTTCATCAGGCAGGGCAGTTGGGGACCACAGCAAACACACACAGGCATGCACACACACACACTCCCTGGGACACACGTGACTGGCCCAAGCATCCTACTGGTGTGGCTACTGCTTGCCCTCCAAGATGCATTTGAAGTGTTTAAAGTAGCATGGAAAACAGAAGGGGCTCTTCTTGAAGGAGCTTGGAGGAAAGAGCTTGAAGGGTAGGGGGTGCTGTACCAAGCCCCAGACAGAAGCAATGGCCCAGGAGAAAAGCCATCCTCTCTCTGCCCACAAGAGCAATCCTGCCATGCTTGGACACATTTTTTGTTTGTGTCTGGTAGAAAAAAAGTCCCAGAAGAAGTGATTTTTTTTGCAGGTTTGAACAAAAAAAATCCTCTTTGGAACAGTTGGGATCGAAGATAATAGATGTGAAAGCACTTGGGATAGTTAACAGGATTCTACCAGGGTAAGAGATCATTGTTATTAGTGGCATGTTTGCTGAGAAGACGCCAGAATACTTCTTCTGGATCAATGATCTTGACACTGCAAGGGCTGATTGTGTCAGGGTGAGGACAGCATCCAGCCGTGCAGCCAGAAGACCCGGGTCAAGTGCAGCTGCATTGCTGATGAGCCGCTGATCACCAGCACACCCCTGCCTTGTTGGCCTCAAGTGGCCATGTCTGTGATTGGGGCCTAGCTGTACAGGACTCATGGGTTGGTGGGAAGCCACGTGGGTGAATGTGTCTAGCACGTGGAAGCTCATCAAAAACATCTACTGTTGGGGCTGGGGCTGGCATAGAAGGTTGTCTCTACCTGCAGCGCTGGCATCCCATATGGGCGCTGGTTCGAGTCTCGGCTGCTCTGCTTCCAATCCAGTTCTCAGTTGATGCACCTGGAAAGCACTAGAAGATCGCCCAAGTGCTTGGGCCCCTGCACCCATGTGGGAGACCCAGAAGAAGCTCCTGGCTCCTGGCTCCTGCCTTTGGCCTTGTCGCTCCCCCTCTTCGTGGAGGAACGACACTAGACCTTGCGCTGTTCTTTTGTCTGCTCGGCCCTCCCCGGGTTTGCTGCTGGTTCTTCCTGGGTTGGCTACCGACCCTTCCACCTCCGTGGAAGGGCGGTTCCCCCTGCCACTTTCCCCACTTCCACGGGGGAGCGGCGCACCGCCGGCCGGCTCTCTCGGGGGCTGCTCAGGTGTTCCCTTTAGATGTTCCTGGTGCATGTTGTCTCTCTCCTCCTTTATAGTCCTCTTCCACCAATCCCAACTCTGCTACCCACACGCTGAGTACGCTGCTCTCCTCCAATCAGGAGCAGGTCCTGCTGTTTATTGGTTGAACTGGAGGCAGCTGTGTAGAAGCTGTTTCCTCCTCTCCCAGCGCCATATTGTGGGAGAGCAGATGCAAAGAATAAGTCTTAATTCCAGTAACAGTCTAGTCCGAGTTGCTCCCCACAATTCCCCCTTTCTTTTTATTTTTGGCGTTGATACGCGCCTGTCTTCGGTGCCCCGCGGCACACACTCTGCTCTGCTTGCTAGAGTTGCTCACAGGTACTTACAAGCCCTACCAATCAGGCAAACCGAATCCGGGTCTTCTCTTCGCCATGTTGTGAGGAGGTTTTTAGGCACTGATGCATGCCTGTGTTCGGTGCCCTGCAGCGCATGCTCTGCTCTGCTAGAACTGCCTGCAGGTGCTTACAAGCCCTACCAATCAGGCAAACCGAATCCAAGCCTTCTCATTGCCGTATTGTGGGGAGACTTATTGGTGTTGATAACGTGCCTGTCTTTGGTGACCTGCAGCCGCCCACAGGTGCTTATCGTCTTACTAATCAGGCAGACCGAATCCAAGCTCTCTCATTGCCATGTTGTGGGGAGGCCTTATTTTTCTCTATTTCTCTATCTCCGGGCATTCCTCTCTCTCCTATTTTACTTCTATCTGCCAGCATTCCTATTTCTCTCATTTTACTTCTAAACTTCTGTTTCTCTTATCCCCGCGGCTTCCCGGCTCTGCGCTGCTTCCCGGCTTTGCGCGCTCCACGGTCTCCGCGCCCTTCGCGACTGCACCATGGCCCCAGCGCTAGCCCCACGTTCCCTATCTATTCGCGCCCCGTGCGCTCTCCCCACTTGTGCCCCGCGTGCTCTCTCTGCGCACAGCGGCTTCCACGAGTCACACAGCCTAGCTCACGTTTCCGCCACCGGTATTCAGTCTAAGTTCCCCGGGCTAACCTGGCGAATTCAACCTAGCTCACGTCTGCGCCTTTCGGTTTGGCTTCCCGTCTTTTGCTCCCCAGGATAATCTGACGGATTCCAACCTGGCTTACGCGTCCGCCTCTAGTTTTAGCTTTTCGCCTTTTGCTCCCCGAGCTGACTTGAAGAATCCCAAGCTAGCTTACGTCTCCACCTCAGCCTGCCCCCGCGGCTTCATCCTCCCTAACATATTTTTCTCTACCCGGTATGTTTCCTAACTTTTCTTCCAACAATATTCCCCTCTCATTTCTCCTGGCTTCTCCCCACAGTCCGTATCCAAGTCTGTTCTAGCTTTCACTTTCGCTTTCGACCTTAGAGATTTCTCCCAGCTTCCCCGCCATAGTCCGTATCCGAGTCTATGCCTAGGCTTTCGATAGCTTCTTCTGGCACCTTTTCTGTCCGGCTTTTCCCTAGGCTCTTTGCTAGTCTCTCTCTCCGGTATTTTCCACTTCTTCCCGTTTCTTCCCTCCTAAGTTTCCTATCCGAGTCATGGCACCATTATGTCGCTCCCCCTCTTCGTGGAGGAACGACACTAGACCCTGCGCTGTTCTTTTGTCTGCTTGGCCCTCCCCGGGTTTGCTGCTGGTTCTTCCCGGGTTGGCTACCGACCCTTCCACCTCTGTGGAAGGGCGGTTCCCCCTGCCACTTTCCCCACTTCCACGGGGGAGCGGCGCACCGCCGGCCGGCTCTCTCGGGGGCTGCTCAGGTGTTCCCTTTAGATGTTCCTGGTGCATGTTGTCTCTCTCCTCCTTTATAGTCCTCTTCCACCAATCCCAACTCTGCTACCCACACGCTGAGTACGCTGCTCTCCTCCAATCAGGAGCAGGTCCTGCTGTTTATTGGTTGAACTGGAGGCAGCTGTGTAGAAGCTGTTTCCTCCTCTCCCAGCGCCATATTGTGGGAGAGCAGATGCATAGAATAAGTCTTAATTCCAGTAACAGTCTAGTCCGAGTTGCTCCCCACAGGCCTGGCCCAGCCCCAGCCACTGCCATTTAGGGAGTGAATCAGCGGACGGAAGATCTCTCTCTCTCTCTTTCCCCTTCTCTCTCTCTGTATTTTAGCCTTACAAATCAATAAAATAAATCTTGAAAATATTAACCAAATAAAACCAGCTACCGTTGAGTGTGCTTACTCTGCACCAGACTCTGGGCCAAGTGCATTGTATCCATTCCCTCATTAACCTTGACTGTAAGGATTGCTATTTTCCACTTTGAAAACCCAGAGGCACCGAGAGGTCACACAGCACGCCCCAAGGGACTGGATTTCAGGATTGGCTGGAATACAGAGCCTGTGATTCCAGCCCCAGGCTGTGCTCACACTCGCACCATTTTTGCTCAGTAAATGTTAGCTGAGTCCCAAGCAGGCAGTCTGTCTTTTGAAGGCAGCCACTGTTTAGATTTCCTGAACTCTCATCCCAGAGCATCTGTTCCAGTGTTGGCTGCCAATAAATATTTACTGAAATTGAAATGTTACAGCTCTGTGAGATGGTCCCTGCTGGCCAGGTCAGGGCTCTTGGACAGCTGTTTTGTGTGCGCTCTGAGTGACCCTCAGATCCAGGTGAGATGACCTCTGCACACCAGGGACTTGAAGGCCTTTGCACAGGCAGCTTCTGAAGGCAGCAGGCCCCTTACTGCCTACCCCCTAGATCAGGCAGGTGTCTGGGTCCCTGGAGCACCGCTCAGGCCTGAGACAGGAATAGCCTTGTCTCAAAGCATCAACAACATCCCTTAAGAAGTAATCAGAGGGGCCGGTGCCGCGGCTCACTAGGCTAATCCTCCGCCTGCAGCGCCAGCACCCTGGGTTCTAGTCCTAGTCGGGGCACCGGATTCTGTCCTGGTTGCTCCTCTTCCAGTCCAGCTCTCTGCTGTGGCCCGGGAGTGCAGTGGAGGATGGTCCAGGTCCTTGGGCCCTGCACCCGCATGGGAGACCAGGAGGAAGCACCTGGCTCCTGGCTTCAGATCAGCGCACTGTGCTGGCCGTAGCGGCCACTTGGGGGGTGAACCAACAGAAAAAAGGAAGACCTTTCTCTGTGTCTCTCTCTCTCACTGTCTAACTCTGCCTGTCAAAAAATAAATAAATAAATAAAAGAAGTAGTCAGGGGGCCGGCACTGTGGTGCAGTGGGTTAATGCCCTGGCCTGAAGCACGGGCATCCCATATGGGTGCAGGTTCATGTCCCAGCTACTCCACTTCCAATCCCACTCTCT